TATAATATAATATAATATAATATAATATAATATAATATAATATAATATAATATAATATAATATAATAATTTTATGGCATGTTTTTCTTAAAGTTTCAAAGCTTGCTGGCTCCAGTCCCCATTTATTTTCAAATGGAACAAAGAACCACGGACATTCTGCTAAACATCTCAGTTTATGTTTCATTAAAGAAAGACATGTTGGATACTTCCTTGTAAAAAAAAAAAAAAAAGTGCACTTAGCAATTTAAAAAGTGTTACGTTTTCAAAAGAGTAATTATATACTTTATACGAATATATCAGTGCGACCTGAATGTAATGTTTTCAGACACTCAACTGCATTACATGAAAATTCAATTATAGTTTAAATTTATATAAATGCAATTAGCTGAACTTTAGAGTGCTTTTTTGACCCACAAGTACATCTTTATATGTAATTTTATTATTACTTCTATTATCTTTGAAATACTGGCAAATGTACTGACCAGTATTTATGGTAAATTAAATATACTTTTATGGCATTTCTATTGAAACGTGTATATTTGTAATTGCATGCTTGTGATGATTAAGTATTTTAAATGTAGTACATTTAAAATACTGAGCATCAAATAGCACACTACAGTTAACATGCTTTAGTATGTTATTCAACACATTAAAATAAGTGTACTTCTAAAGCAAAACAAAATATTTTCAAAACATAAACATGATTTAAAATGCAATTTGTTTTTAATTTGACACTATTACTAAGTGTACGTTTTAAAAATGTACTTACATGTGTTAAAAAACACTGTCATGAAAGTGTACTCTTTTTAAATTTAACTGGCCTTTTATTTCATTAATAATATCTATATTATACTTGTAGGTTTGAAGCGCACTACAAATGCTCATTCAATAGAATCAAGTGCAGCTCTTTTACACAAAGGCTGCCACTTTTCCTTTAATGTTATATTCTAGATAGATTTTTAGTCCACTGAAGTGTGACTGGTCTCCTGGCATGTATTACATAAGCAAAAACTTTGGTGTTTGCAATCATGACACTGAAGCAAGAGCTTGAAGTTGGACTCACATCCATAGTGGTGATGTTGCACCTGTGTGGCCAGGCATCTGCAAACCAGCCATCTGCAGAGCACTGATCAATATCCACATCCTGCAGGCTGACGTCCACACGAACAACACCCCTATATGATATTATAGAGCACAAGAGAAAAAGAGAAATTAGTCTATTGTTAACTGTAAAGAAGCTGAAAGTTCACACTGAAAATTCAAAAAAAGAAAAAGTGCACTTCAAATACCAGATGATGTACTTATTTAAATGAGAAAATGAAGTGTGGAACTTTGGACACTTCATGCACTCAATGGTTGCAGATTTAATTATGTACCGGAATGGGACTGACTATTATACTCTGATGTTGGATGACAAAATAACTTCATATAATTCATACACTACATAGGTGCATAGTATTTCATTTGGGACACTCAATTCATGAAACTGTACTGCAAATAGGCTATTTCATAAATGGAAAAGGGTCTGAATAAGAAATAAGGGCAATATTGTTGTTTGCACAGGCACCAATCACGACTTCTTCAGAAAAGTATCTAGTTTCTCTGCTACAATCTTTCCTTAGCATAGCTTTTCCACAACACAGAAAGGGTTTGGACAGAATTCCTTTACTTAATATAGGGCATTGTGCAATTTACTGCAAACATAAAAATCTTTTTTTCATTCTTTATTATTCATTTGACACGATCATATGAATGCATCAAAATTATTACATGTTCTATGCATACACAGCTGAGAAAAACAGCATGTCCGTTTACAATAGAATATTGTAGGCTATATAAACATACATACTATTATAGTAACAATATGGTTTAAAGAATGTCATCATTGTCTGTGTTATTGCCAAATGGTCGACCAATAGTTTATTTTTTTTAATTGGCTGATTTTGATATCTACAGAGCATAGTGATCTTGATGATATCAAATACAATTTTATGAATTTGAAAGAAAAGAATGTACAGTACCTTTCATTGTATACATTCATTTTTTTTTAATTGCTGTTTATAATTATATTCACTTAATTCAATATATGATTATTATTATTTATTATTTATAATTATTTGCTGTCTGGGTGGAACAAATCTTGGGTCTGGATCTAGGCTGCAGTGTGCTAATTGATGACCTCTGGACAAGGTTGTCGGTATTTGGAACTGAGCCAAATAAGTGAATGCTTCCTGAAGCGGCTGTGGAGCTTCGTAATAACATAGAAAGCCAGCAAGAGAATAACCTTAAGGGGAGACACTGCAGGCAAAAACACTGTTTCCCTTTCAGTCGGTCACTCTCGACGTCACGTCGGATGACCGACGAATTGGGATCTCGCTTAGAGAGACCAATCTA